TTGCGCATGGAGAAGCACTGTACGGGATATCGTCAAGCCCGGCTAGATCAGTCATGATCGTAACCGCAACAAGTAAATTAGACCAGAGTCACCAGTCTTGGGCGCCAAGGATAGTTAAAGCAACCTGAAAAGTTCGGGGAAAAAAACGGTTTGGAGTCTCGGCGATCGGCCAGTGTGGCAATGACATGGGGCTGGCAGCTCAGCGAATAAATAATATGTTTATTATGTTTATTATTTATACACACTGTAATAAAAGCATTTAAGAGAAGCTCAAAAAACACGTACGCGAACCAATGTTCTTGACAAAATGCTGAAAACCTGTGAGACGGGGGTGCAGGGTATAGCGCAGCAAAGGGCGTCCTGTCTTCTTAGCGTAGGAATCACTGCTAACAATGCTCTCCGGGCAGAGGTTAGTGCCCTCCGGGAACATGAGGATCTGCCAAAATACAGAAAAAAGGGGATGTGGGAGCAAATGTAAACATGGTACGGATGTCAGAACTACACATGTGGGCAGACCTATGATTTGACTGAAATATCTGACGATTATTTCACCGCTAATTAATCAGTAATCCTTTCTTAATGAAAAAAAAAACACATTTAAACATTCCCCGGGTTGCAAGCCTGGCATTCGGGTAATTATCTCGTCTACCCATCTTCAGAGAATGGATACTCTGGCTCACGGTCCTCGTCTTTATGCCGTCCTTTCTTGCGTGTGCCTGTTCTATCAATCATGTTTGAGACACACACAGTGGCTCTTCTGACCTACCACCCGGGAATCGAATTTTCAGCACTATTACTACATTTAAACATGTTATGATATAGTATATCTACTGCATGCCTTACAGCCTGTTCCAGCAAAGAACCATTGCGATCGATATGTTAAAGTGTTCCTAATATGCTTTTGTGGGTATTTTGTACAGATTAGTCGCGAGCTTTCAACGAGGGATGTCATGTAACCAACTAACTGGATTGTATGAAGGCATATGGGCCTTTTGCCTGTTTAATGACGTCGTTAAACAAAAGACGAGGATCATTACTAACAAGTAATCAGTAGTTATTCCTCGGTTTGTATCTGAGTGGGGATTTCCTGCATATTTCCGGAAGTACAAACGTGGATTGGAGGATTCGAGAACAGCACTTTCCTTTCCAAAGACAGGTACCGTGATGAAGGAGTGCCAGATCACGAATAATAGGTTGGAAAAGGCGCTATTCTGTCGCCTTTGGA